GGAAGGAAGGAAGGAAGGAAGGAAGGAAGGAAGGAAGGAAGGAAGGAAGGAAGAAGAGAAAGGAAGAAAGAGAAAGGAGAAGGGAAAAGGGAGGGAGGAAAGAAAGAAGGAAGGAAACTTGAAGGAAGGAAAGAAAGAAAGAAGAGAGAAAGAAGGAGTTTAAAACAATTAAAAGCAGCCAAGCAATGGTGGCCAAACAGCGGATCCGGATGGCTAACAAGAAGCACAGCAAAAACATCACACAGAGAGGGAACGTAGCCAAAACCCTGGTAAGGCAGGACATGGATGCTGTGCTATGGTGGGTTGGGGAGGGGGTGCATCTCAGAAGCTGACTTTCTTTCTCCCTAAGGCTGAGCATGAATCCCTTCATCTTCATATATTCTGCCATATGCTGCTTCTCTCCAGTGAGGATGGGGATACCATGGACTGTGGACCTGGGAATAGAGGGAGGCAAGGAATAAAGACCCTTTTCCCAAACTGAGGAAACTTGGCGAGAGGGTAATGAATTACCTAAAGAAGGGAACCAAGGGATTGTAAGATTTTGAACTAGAAAGGACCTTAGAGATTTTAGGAACATAGAATCATAGTTTTGGAATTGGAAGGGACCTTACACCCTAAAGCTAAGTGACTTTCCCCTAAGGTGGCAGAGAATGGAATTCCAACCTCAACGCTCTGATTCCAAATCCAAGGCTTTTCCCACTGCTCTAGGCCAGTAACTTGGCCCAACAGACTTTCTCATTCCTGTGGCTGGGGCTGCCCAGACTCGTAGCTGGGTCAGCAGAAGTGGGTAGAGGATCCTAGCTAGTATAGCAACAAATCATTCTGATACTGTTTTATGTCTTGGTTATGGTGGACTACAAAGCAGGATGAGATCACAGAAAGGGCTCAGTTTGAGCCATCTTTGAAGGAATCTTCCAAACAGTGAAGTATCCTGGGAAAGAATGAAAGCCATATTATTAGAGGAAAGATAACTTGGATTCGAGGTGCAGCTAGGTGGTGCAGTGGATAAAGTACTTGACCTGGAGTCAGGAAGACTCTGGCCTCTGATACTTACTAGCTATGTGACCCTGGACAAGTCACTTAACCCTGTTTGCCTCAGTTTCCTTATCTGTAAAATGAGCAGGAAAAGGATATGGCAAACCACTCCAGCATCTTTGCCAAGAAAACCCCAAATGGGGTCATGAAGAGTTGGACAGGACTGAAAACGACTGAACAACAAAAAACTCAGATTAGGACAAGAATTGGAAATCACACCCTCAAGCTAGGTCTAGGTGGGGGGAGGGGAGAGGAGTTGTTTGTTTGCTTTGGTTTTTCCCCAGTTCTTATTTATTATCCCATTTGCTAGAGTGGAAGTTCCATAGAGACTTGGAGGTTTGACTAGAAAAGTCAGCTGAGCAGATTAGACAATATCTTTTCTTGATGATTTGTGTAACTGTCCAAAAGTAAGATCTGCTAACACCATGCTTCATAGAACCCATGCCAAATCAGAATGCATGCAATGTCAGAGAAACTCTGGGCATAAACTGAACTTCACTTTGAATCTTGAGTTCCAAGTTAAACTACTCCCTGTCTGTCTTTTCAGTGATTTATTAGGACATTACATTGAGCTGTTGGTAGTAAAATTTCCAGCCTAGGCTCTACAGTGCCATTGAATGGGAAACATTTTTCACTGAAATATGTCTCCTTATCTAATTTCGCTCAGTAGAGACCTGCTGTGCTAATTAATATTCAAGCACGTACTTTCAACCTTAAGCTTAAGAGATAATCTCTCCTCCAGGTCACACTAGAGGAAAGGGGTTTTTTGTTTTGTTTTGTTTTGTTTTGTTTTGTTTTGTTTTAATATTAAGGAGGAAGGAATGTTCCTGAGCATTTACCTGATGACTTAAGTGGCAGCAAAGTGATACCAACTTGAAGTGAAAGGTTTCCTTGCCAAGGGGAACATTTGTATGTAATATTTGAATATAACTGGAGGGACTGTTTACTTCATTTCTCTGCTAGTTTTCTAGCTAATTTTGATGTAAATGAATTAGCCCCTTCTAGGTGAGATGAAATTCTCTCAAAAGAAAACAATGAAAATTGATTTTCCCAATCCCTAGTAAGAACAATTAGACTGGTAATAATGTCTGTGTTCTGGGATTCTGTCAATAAGTTAGGAGATTTGAAATGTATTCCATCTAAAATTTCAGGCAGCATATTTAGTTTGGGCATGTGAGGGCATCAACCAATGTGGACCACACCTGTTTTGCTATGGAGTCTTATACAGTTGTCTGGGGGCCCTGGTAGGTTAAGTGATTTCCCTAGGGTTACATAGTCAGAATCTCCATCCTGATGCTGAGGCCACTGTCTGTCCACAGAAAAGGATTAGATAAGGAGCATTCTGAATTACCCTCTTAAAATCATAGGGAGAGCTACAAGGGATTAACTTTATCTGCTAAAGCACAGATTTTGCATTGTATTGGCTCCACAAGGATGGTGCTCCTTTACCAAAAGGTATTGATCAAAAACCCTTATCTACCTAACACTTGGATTCAGGATTCACTGGATTCCCAGACAGGATGATGGCAAATACACCTAGAGCCAACAAAACTAATAATGGAATCTAAGATGGACAGGTATCAGCTATTGAAAAAAAAATTATGGAACTCTGATGAATTATGATTCAGAAATTTGGGGAGCTCTTTAACCCAATTTCAAGTTTCTGTCTAAAAGTTTTTCTTCCTGTAGATTAAGGAACTTCATTCCAGTTAGCAAGTCATTTCTGGGTTCCTAAATTCTTTTTTTTTTTTCATTTCAACTAGCTGTATAGGCAAAGCAACTTCTTTAGCAAGTGTGGGAAAACACCTGCAGAACTAGTTTTTATTAAACTAGCTCAGACTAGTTTAATGTGGGCTATAGTAGACTATACGCCATGACTAGACTTTATCTGTAGGGTAGACTGGGCCATAAGACCAAATGTAATGGCCACACTGTGAAGTCTTCACTTAGAGTTATCAATTTCAGTTATTTCAGACTGATTTCTCCCTCACTATGTTGGGTCAGAGGCAACATGGTGACTTGAGAGGATGATTAAATCAGATAGAATTCTTCATCTCCCTCCATGAACCATCTCTTCTTTAGTCAAAATTTGCCTGACATCTACACATTAAAGCAAGCCACTGAGAAAATCATTTACTCAAAACCCAATCTGTTGCCCGTTAGGAGTTGAAGTTGAAGAAGAAGGAATGTCTCAATCCTCTCTACCTGATCTAAAAGATTGGTTGGTTTTTTTCCCCACTAAGCCTTAAACCACTAATGAGATATTTCAACTAAGTAAATCATCCCAGATCAATCCAAAAAAACTGGTGAAAGCTTTTTGAACATAGCCTGTCTTTTTAGGCTTATATTTAGTCAAGACCTATTTGGCCCAAAGCTAATAAGAATGTAATTTTGTCTCCTTTGGGTTTTTTTTTGTCCCTTTTAGCTTTGTCTTGGCAATGCTTTTTCTGGATCTTTTGGGCATAATCAACTAAACATGCATACATGCATATATACATATATATATATATAATGTTTGTTCATTGATTGATTGATTTAAGCACTTCCAAGTATTCAGTGAAATTATTTGTTAGGCTATATTTTTGCCATGATGACGATGACAAAGATGATGATGATGATGATGACGGTTGACATGTACATAGTACTTTATATACATTCTCTCTTTGATCCTCCTAACTGCCCTACGAAGAAGATACTAGAGGTATTATCCTCATTAAACAGATGAGGAAACTAAAGCTAAGAGAGGTTAAGTAATTGACTCAAGGACACACAACAGATGTCAGAGGCAAGCTTTGAACCCAGGTCTTCCTTGACTCTTGGACCATCATGCTCATACAGCATGCTACCTCCAAGTACAAATGGGTTTGGAGATTCCCTGGGATGGATGAAATCTATGCAAGGAAGGAAAATTATTTTTATAAGGAAAGTTTGGAGGGAATTGTTTCATGTAGAAAGGTTTAGATTAAACTTTCACAGATCATAGAATGTCAGAGCTAGAAGGCCCCTTAGAGATAAATCTAGTCATTTTGCAGGTGAGGAAACTCCTGCTTGGTGACCTGAGGCCTCAGGAGGCTGAACAGCTTGCCCAGCTCCTACGGCTAGTGAATGACAAGAGCAACATTAGAAACCAGGTCTCAACTTCTAGTCCAGTTGTATGAAACCCTGTTGTAGAATGCTGATACTTTTCTTGAGTAAAAGATCCTAGGCTTGAGCCCTGATTCCCTCCTTGCAGTCTGTGTGACCTTCAGTGAGGTATGGACTTTCTCTAGGTCATTGTTTTCTCATTTGCAAAATGTCAGGGGGGAAGATGGGGAGTGAGAGCTGGACTTGATCAAGGGTTCTTGGCTTGGGGTCTGTGACTTTTTAAAAAAAAATATTTTGATAGCTTTATTTCAATATAATTGTTTTCCTTTGTAATCCTATGGATTTTATTTAATACATTTAAAAACATTGTTATGAGAAAGGCTCCAGAGGCTTCAGCAGATTCTCAAAGGGGCCCATGACACAAAAACCATGAAGAACCTCTAGGCTGGATCTCTAAATTCCTTTATAGCTCGAAACTATATGATTCTGTGATGCTGAAATCTCCTCCAATTCAGGATATTTTTATCAGGGCCTTTGCTGGTGGTCTTATAAAAGGAGATTATGAGAAAGGAAAAAGAAATTAACTTGATTAACTCTCTCTCCTTCTTTCTCTCTTTTCTTTCTCTCTCCCTCCCTGTCTTGCTCTTTTTCTCTCTCCCTCTCTTCTCTCTTCTCTCTTCTCTCCCCTCTCTCTCTCTCTCTTTCTCCTCCTCCTCCTCCTCCTCCTCCTCCTCCTCCTTCTTCTTCTTCTTCTTCTTCTTCTTTTTCTTCTTCTTCTTCTTCTTCTTCTTCTTCTTCTTCTTCTTCTTTTCTTCTCTGTCTCTCTCTCTTTGTCTCTCTCTCTGTCCCTGTCTCTCAATACTATTAACCGATACTCTTCATCAATTCAGAAGTTGGAAGTAGATATAAGTTAACCTCAAGATCTGCCTTTACATGTGAACTTAAAAGGCAAATTATTTTTTTTTAAATAAGGCAAATCTAATTCTCTTTTCTCTGCTCCCTTCCATTTTAGAGACCACAAGAAGAGAAATACCCTGTGGGCCCGTGGCTGCTGGCACTGTTTGTTTTTGTTGTCTGTGGATCAGGTATGGACACTGCCCCTGAGAACAAATGAAGGGTGTTTCAATGCTAGCCTTCACCTCCATGTTATTCTTTAGAGTGGAGAAAATGTGTTTTATTTACAAGGACAGCCTATTAGAAGTATATCAGTTTCAGACTCTTAGTAATTATTGCCTTGGTCTTGAGCTGATTCATTTTTTTTAAAATATAGAATGTTTAACGAAATTGCATGTCTTCCTTGTGCAGGGGCCATCCTAACCTTTTCTGTATCATTCCAGTTTCAGTATATGTGCTACCGAAGCAAGCATGAGTTGATCCATTGTTAAAGGGGACATAGGTCTTTCTTGTCTTGGTGAACAAAGCTCACAGGTACCATGTGACATCTATTCTGTCCCTCTTCTGTCCCTTACCATAGCAAAGAAACAAAAAGCCAACAAGATCAAAGATCAGATGGGATAAGAATGTAAAGAGTGATGTGAAATCTAACACATTAAATAAATGCTAGCTATTATTGTCATTATTGATTTTATGGTTATTGCTGTTCTAGCAAATAGGAATAGCGTAAGAATTAGTATAATGCATCGTATCAAAATGAATTGACCAAAGTAGATATAATAATAGCAGCTAGCATCTATGTAGCGTTTTAAGGTTTGTAAAGAAAGCCATTTACAAATGTTAGCTCATCATCATAACAACTCTGAGATGGGTGCTATTTTTATTCCCATTTTACAGATTAGGAAACTGAGGCAGACAGAAGTTAAGTGACTTGTCCAGAGTCACATAACTAGTAAATGTCTGAGGCTGAATTTGAACTTAGGTCTTCCTGATTCTAGGCCCAGTTCTCTATTCAATGAATCCTCTACGTGCCTAAACATCTAAAATTTAACTGTTACTACAACCCACCTGTTTAAAGAAGAGTTAGAGCGTCTTGGGGGAAGTCACAGTAAGAGTGTTTTTTCTGAAATAAGGCTCACAGTCCAGAGCATGACACATTCTTCTCTAGGATTGATGCCCTGGGCTTTCATGTTGGGTGGAGCCTTTGACCTATAGCTCATGTGGTCATCTCAGACTTGGGAAGCTATATGTAAGTGGCAGGTTTCACTTTCACATTGATTTTCTCCCAAGATCATCCATGGGGGGGAAATACCCGAGGAAGCAGGACCTGAAATGTTGGAGTTTTGAAACCTTTCAAATGATTATCAAGATTCCAGAAGTAGGAGATTCAAGCTGATCCATTGTCAACAGGGACATAGGTTCCTTTTGTCCTGGTGACTGAAGCAAACAGATTACCACATGACATCTATTCAGCCCTTTTCTGTGCCCTAGCCCAGCCAAGAAACTTGTTTCTCCTAGACTACTCTAACGACACCAACAAGGCCTGCAAGAATACGAGACTTAGAGTTAGGAAGATGTGGGTTCAAATCCTGCATCTGACCTTTAGCTCTGAGATCATGAACAAGTCACCTAGCTTATCTGAGCCTCAATTTCCCCATTTATAAAATTAAGGGTTCCTTCTAGCTCTGACTCCACGATCCTATTTTCTATGTTCTTTGGCAAAGGAGAAGGCACTGAGTAAATGATTTTCTTTTGACTCTCTAAAGTGGTGGTTTCCCTAAAAGAGACCAAGCCCTATAGGAGGCTGGGGAAGGTATCTGTCCCAAGGTGCTGCTTGGGCTCAGAAGAGTTTTTCCAATACGATTTTGGTTTCCAGGACTATCTGCTACCCAATCAAAAAAACATTTATGAGTAAGGGAAGCAGATGAAAAACAAATTAGGAAGAGGAAAAAAAAACCTAAAAAGTGTAGTTGGTGTAGTAATAATAACTTACATCACTTATATAGTATTTTAAAGTTTATAGAGTGCTTTACAAACATTATCTCATTTTGTTTCTACAACAAACCTGGGAGGCAGATGGTTTTATTATTCCCATTTTATAGAAGAGGAAACTAAGGGGGCAGCTAGGTGGTACAGTGGATAGAACACCAGCCCTGGACTCAGGAGGACCTGAGTTCAAATCCGACCTCAGACACTTGACACTTACTAGCTGTGCAAGTCACTTAACCCCATTGCCTAGCCAAAAAAACAAAAAAAAAAAGAGGAAACTAAAACAGAGATTAAGTGACTTTCCCAAGGTCACACAGCTAGTATGTGTTTGAGGTATTATTTGAAGACTTCTGCTTAAGAAAAAAAACATTTTATTTTTATATCACCTTCATTTCTGTGTATAACCCTTCCACCTCCCCATGCAGTTAGCCATCCCTTATGACAAAGAATGAAAAAGAAAGAAAAAAAAAGCAATTTGACAAAACCAAGCAAAGCATCAACTGAATTTGACAGAATATGTAGGGTTCCACACCCACAGTCCCTCACCTTTGCAAGGAAAAAGAGGGAGCTTGTAATTGCAAAAGTTTTCTAACCAGTCTTCCTTCCTCCATTTCATCTATCCTCTATGTCCTTGCCAGATCAATCTTCCTAATGCACAGTTCTGATCACTTCCTTCCTCTACTCAGAAATGTTCAATAATTCTCCATTGCCTGATGAATGGAGTTGAAAATCCTTAGCTTGCCATGCAAGGGCCCACACAGTTTGGTTCCTGCTGCCATGGAGAATGAAGGAATAAAAAGTTTCTCGAAAAAAAATGAAAGAAAATATTTAAGAGGAAGACAAGGAGGAAAAATAATCTGAGAAGACACAGATCTTCCAAATCCAAACCTGTGTTAAAAGGCAGAGGTAGAAGGCTGTGACTTCGAAGTAAAGGAAGAAAGACCCTCAGCCTAATGGGGCTATGTGATAGATTAGTGGGAATGCCATGGATGAAGCTCTGACCAGGAGTAGTCAGACAAAAAAAAGAAGAAGAAGAACAAGGAGAGAAGAGTGTCCCAAAAACCTAAAGAAGAAAGAGTGGCCAAGAGGAGATTGTGATCAACAATGTCGAAGACTACAGAGAGCTCAAGAAGGATGAGGATTGAGAAAAGGTCATTAGATTTGGCAATTTAACCATCACTGGTAACTTCAGAAAGGGCCGTTTCAATTGGATGAGCCCGAAAGCCAGGTGACAAAAGGTTAAAGAGGAGAGGAAAGGATGTAAAGGCCCCAATTGTAGATGGCTTTCTCGGTGAGTTTAGTCAAGAAGGGAAGGAGAAATACGAGATGGGATGTGGTTGGATTGGGCATGGTCAGATCAGACAAGGGTTTTTTAAGGACGAGAAAGAAACAAATGTGTTTGTAGATAGCAGGGAAAGAGCCAGTTGATGGAATGACATTGAGGACTATAGAGAATGGGTATGATAATAGAAGAAATCTGCTGGAGAAGATGGGAGGTGGTGGGATCAAGGGTAGAAGGGCTTGCCTTGGCAAAGAGAAAGGTCACTTCTTCATTCAAGATCGTACCCAAAAAGAGTATTGATGTAGTTGGAGGGGGGTTTCTATTCAAGTGCCTCAGGGATCAGTCTTTGCCTCTGTTCTGCTCTACATTTTTATTAATCCTTTGGCTTACAGCAAAGGTGGCATTTTTATACTTCCAGATGACACAAAAGTAGGAGAAATATACTACCATATTGAATGACAGAATCATCATCCAAAAGGATTTTGATGATTGGAATAAGGGACTCTTCTAACAAGATAGAGCTTCATAATGATCAGGGCCAAGACCTACACTTAGGTTCAAAAATCGAACTACCCAACTATAGAAATAGAGACATGGTGCAGTGGCCCTCATAGCTTCATGGGGCAGCTAGGTGGTCCAGTGGATAGAGCGTTGGGCCTAGAGTCAGGAAGACTCATCTTCCTGAGTTCAAATCTGACCTCAGACACTTACTAGCTGTGTGACCCTGGGTAAGTCGCTTGACCCTGTCCGCCTCAGTTTCCTCATCTGCAAAAAATGAGCTTGAGAATGAAATGGCAAACTACTCCTTTGCCCAGAAAATCCCAAACAGGGTCACAAAGAGTCAGACATGGCTGAAACTACTGAACAGCTACAACATAGCTTCACATGAGTTAAAAGTGTTACCTGGAAGCCAAATACACTTATGCTATTTTAGGCTATATTAATGAATGCATAGTCTCCAGATCTAGGGAGTGTTCACATAATTCCACTGTACACCATCATGATCATTCTGGGAACCACATTTTATGGGGAGATAGTGAGAAATTTCCAGGAGATAGTGACTAAGATGGGGATGAAATTTGATATAATGCAGCATAGAAGATTAAGGAACTAGGAATGCTTAGCTTGCAGAAAAGAAGACATAGGTGGGACATGGCTAACGTCTTCAAATATTTTAAAGATTGCTCTAGTTCAAGATAAACTATAAAGATCCTATAGCAAAGAGGAAAGTAGGTCCTTCTGGGTATTTCTGTAACTTCCTGAATTAAGACCATGACACAATTACGGCTCTGTAAAATATGTCTTATTTGAAAGGAACAGGATAAGCAGAGGAGAGGGGGAGAAACACTGTATGTATATAAGTATATATATATATATTATATATATATACATATGTACTTTCATATGTGTATATGTATGTATATAAACATACACATATGTGTGTATGTATGTGTGTAAAATTGTACATTTGAGAAGTAACATGGCCTGGAAGGCTAAACTTGGCTTAAAGAACAGTTGCTTTTAAAGTCTGCCTCTGACACTTAATAGTGGTATGACCTTGGACATATCACCTCACCCCTCTGGGTCTCAGTTTCTTCTTCTATAAAATGGGAATAATAATAATACCTATAGTAGCTACCACAAGAAGCTATTATGGGTTTTAAGTGAGCTAAAGTACATAAATCACTTTGCAAGCTTTGCACGTGGATATTCCTTATCTTGTGGAGGATATAGAACTCATCAAAGGCAAATGATAAGGACCAAGAGTATCAATCTTGGGGATACTAGAAATAGAATCCATACATCTAGAACTGGGCTAATTCAATCTTTCCTTTGGTGGGTTGGTTGGTTGGTTGGGTGTTATCCTTCATTCTTGAAGAGTTCTTAAATAACATCACTCTGTTAGAGTCAAGTTATTGTGTGTCTGACTATGGCTGATCAGACCAATACAAGCTTGGAATGCTCTATCACTGGTTGGACATAAATAGTCCATGTGAACATTTGGGGTAGAACCTCTATTTGTACATCTTGTATTTCTTTCAAGCTACTTCAATTCTGCTTTGCTTATAGAGCACGGCACCTTCTTTGATGAGAGTGCGCCATGCTGGGCAGACCTATGCCAATGTCTCCCATGTTATCAATTGCTAGTTATTACCATCATCATCATAAGTATTATTATTATTATTATTATTATTATTATAACCATCTAGAATTGAAATGTCTTACCTCAGGAGGAAGTGGGTTCCTGCTAGCTAGAAGCCATCCATCAAAGGTTTGATAACCAGTCTGCAAGTATGTTGCAGAGTACATCCTCATTCACATTCAGGTTGAGGCCAGTGGTCTCTGTGATGCTTTCTTATTCCCACATTTACAAATGTAGCTAACAATAAAGAGCATGGGATGCCGTAGAGGGATACTGAGTTCCTTCTCACTGGATGTCTTTAAGCATAGGCCAGATGACCCATTATTACCATATTTGGGGAATTCTGTAGAAGGGATACATGTTTTAAATATAAATTAGACTGAACATCCTCAAAGGTCCCTCCCAATTCTGATTTTTACTTCTGGAACTTTACCTCATGGAGAAAAAGCAAGTGAAGAGTAATAAATCTTCCTCCCTTTTCCTTTTGGGGCAGCTAGGTGGTGCAATGGATAGTGCTGGTCCTAGAATCAGGAAGACCTGGGTTTAAATCCAACCTCAGACATTTACTAGCTGTGAATGAAGAACCAATAACAACTGTGTGACCCTGAACAAGTCACTTAACTCTGCCTCAGTTTCCTCATCTGTAAAATGAGCTGGAAAGGAAATGGCAAACCACTCCAGTATCTTTGCCAAGAAAACCTCAAATGGGGTCACAAAGAGTCTGATACAACTGAAAATGACTAAACAACAACCCTTTTCCTTGGAGAAGGGAAATAGGGGCTCTGCTTTTTTCCTAAGGGCTGCAATCTAGATAGGCTTTCCTGGCTGATCCTGGGCCGGAATTGATGCATTCAGTCATTGCTTCTGAAAGTTGTGGTCACTATGATGGAATTGACCCATGGTGGTATTCTTCTTCTGGCTGTGGCTAAGAATTACCTCCTACCAAATACGTATCTGGCTGGGTACCTCTAGCTGGGCCCCCACACTCACATCCCTGCTCCTATAACTGCTTTATATATCTAAGAGGGTAGAAGACATACCTCTTAAAGTAGAGTGTCCATCTAAGTATCATTTTTGAATATCATAATGTAGCATTTGTTTAATCTTCCATTTCACGCTCCCGTAATGGTTACCTTCACCCTTGGCAAAACCAGCTTAAGGAGTACAGCCATTAAGAGTAATTATGGCATTTCCAAGACTATTTCCTTTGAGAAACATCACAGCCTTCAACATACCAACATACGTCACAGACAGAGGTTTGCCTTGTGTTTTTTGTTTTTATAATCTCTCTAAGTAGAGCATGATGCATCAGACCCCTTCTTAGTCCCACCAGGGTATCAGGATAAAACTCATGAGGATGGTGTGCTGTTAAGATTCCAGGCCTTCAGCTGTACCTTGAATGGGTTCCCCTTTGCTTTTAACATTGCCTTAATATCTCCCGTGGTCTCTAAATAAGAAAACAGTTGACATTATCTCTGAAGTACTTAGGGTACATGTCAGCATTTTCAATGATAACATGCTCCACATATGATAATATTTTTCCATGTGATAAGGCATTGAAGAAAGTCTACCAGACTATGAACCAAAGCCAGCCTTTGGTGGTTTGCGTGTTAGTCTGCTGGAGGTTGTTTAAGAGTAGAAGCAAAATGTGAATTTCACTTCCCCCAAACAGCTCTAAAAACCAGTGGTTTGAGGCAGAAGTGTTCTTACTGAGATAAAGTGAGCCATCAGCAACAGCTTTGGTACAGTATGTTTATCTCAAAGAATAAAAGTTTTTGTATTAACTAAATGGAATAGCTCAAAGCTCTCTCTTGTATCTTTTTTTTTTTTTGCGTTCATTTTTAGCTGACTTTTTAAAAATGTTAAAGCACGTCAGAAATCCGAACTGTTGCTAACTAAAATACCTCTTATGGCTCCCTCAAGACTAGACATTCTTCTCAATGCCTCAGAAACTTTCTATCTTCAAACCTTAAAATTAGCTTCTTGGGATGACCAGTTTAGGGCTGTAAGAGATCTTGGAGACCAATCTTCCTATTTTACAGATGAGGAAACTGAGGTACAGAGATTATGACTTTACCAAGGTCCTACTGCATTAGTGGTCTCCTAAAACCTAGATTCAAGAAATTGCAGTCTATAGGAGTTGAGCACACCCCCATCTTGACAGTTTTTCCTTGTTTCCTACCTTTTTTTTTAAATAAAAAATACTACCTTCTATATTTATGCCATGCTGCCTGCTCTCCAGCTCTACCTCAATTCAGAACTGAAGGTACCACCCTTGCGACTCTCTGGGTCCTCACTGGTGAGTCAGTCTCAGTCCATGATGCGACTTCCCAGCCACCTCCATGTTATGCTGCCGGGCACATAACCCAAACGCTTTCTCAATGCTAGCTCTAAGAATAGTAATTAAATCCATGCTGTCATTCCTGGAAAGGACATGTCAATCATTTGTCCTATAACTCCAGTTACCATTCACTAACATATATCCCAAGCCGCTACTCCCCTATATGTGTTATCTTCTCCATTACAATGTAAGCTCTTTAAAGGTAAAGACTGTCTTGTTTGTCTATAGTTGTAGTTGTTATCTTTGTTGTTCAGTCGTTTGGGTCATGTCTGACTCTTTGTGACCCCATTTGGGTTTCTTTTTTTTTTTTTTTTTTGGCAAAGATACTGGAGCGGTTTGCCATTTCCTTCTCCAGCTCATTTTACAGATGAGGAAACTGAGGCAAACAGGGATAAGTGGCTTACCCAGGGTCACACATAGCTAGTAAGTGTCTGAGGCCAGATTTGAACTCAGGAAGATGAGTCTTCCTGACTTCAGGCCCAGCATTCTGAGCCACCTAGCTGCCCCTTGTATTCGTATTTAGCACCTAGCATAGTGCCTTGCACATTCACATAATTTTTTTTCATTCATTCACTCCATCCTCACAGGTCTCTTTGCATATGGTCAGCTCATTCTAGTACTCTTGAAACAATCTATGATTCAAAACATGGCACCATTCAGGAAGGACTTGGTAGCAAAGCTGAGTCCAGAGTCTTTGTTTACTTCCACCTTAAACTCAAAGATAACCTAACTGGTGGTGCCCATATAAGGCTGTCTGATCACAATTAGGACATTGCCTTCAATAATCATACTAGGGCTACTCCTTTACCTGGTGACTTTTGGTTAGGACTCATATCCCCATTCCATTTATGTTGACTACTGTTATTTCTCTCATACTGATCCAGCATTCAGCCTCATTTTCTTTTGTTTCCAAATCGTTGCTTCTTGACAAAAAGAAGTGTGGAACTCCTCCCATCTCTGTCTCTCTTTCCCTCTCCTTTCCTCTCTCCTCTCCTCTTCTCTCTCTCTTTTTCTTTCTCAGTCTGTCTCTCTCTTTGTCTCTTCCTCTCTCTCTCTTTCTCTCTCTCTCTTTCTCTCTCGACCCCTCCTTCCCTCTCTCTCCCCCCTCCCCCGTCTCTCTGTATGTCTGTCTGTCTGTCTGTCTCTTTCACACACACAGACACACACACACACACACACACTGTAGAGAGATACATATTCTCCTCTAGTATCCCATTTTCTCTAGACCTTCTAGCTCCTTTGTGAACTTCCCTTATACCAAAGTCTTTCCTGGGCAGCTGCTTTAGGTTTCTTCGCTAGGTTTCGTCCTCGACGTGATGACTCTTTGATTAGTATCCTGGTTTTCTAGTCTATTGTATAATTAGTAATCAGCTCATAGAATGTCTCCATTTCTATTTTTCTATTTTTTTCTGTTATTTCTATTTTTTTTAACTCAGTTAACCTCCAGTGGGCCTTGATCTATTACAATACTTAGTTGACAGGGTACCCTTTTCATAGAACCTCAGCTCCTTTAAAGCTCTGTGTATGTATCCCCTCTGTTCATCCTCCCCTACTATTTAACCCGGGGGGCCTCTCCAGTCATCCTGATCTATATCTCATACCCAGATGGCTCCAGAGGAAAAAGTGAGGCTGGTGACTTTACACAGCCCTCCCTCACTTAAATCCAAATCACTTGCAAGTCATGGCATCACTTTCCTGATGTCATGGTCCTCTCTGAGAACAAAGGACAAACAACAGCAATATTTAACCCAGAAAAATAGGATAACAGCTTAATTTACATTTTCCTTTGAATCATAGAAGAAAATATTTAAGTGTGTATTCTAGTTCCCTTACCAGTACCATTCCCTCCTTCGGTATCCCCAAACACAGTCCCATTTATGCCTCTGTATCCATTATTGGTATAGTATAGTTTTGACTTTTGAATTTCATCGGTCACTATAACCTGTGTCTTGCACAACTGAGTGTAAGCTCCTTAAGTTCGAAGACTGTTTCATTTTCGTCTTTCATCCCTGGAGTGCCTAGCTTGATGTCATGTATACTGTTGGCACTAATAAATGCTTGTTGAATTGAATGACTTATTTCCTTTGAAGAGTAGCATCAAAAACTAGATGAAGGTCTGTTTTTGACCATTTTTGTGTTATGATTTGACAGTCTAATAAAGACCTCCTTCTCAGAATTATCTTTTTTAAATGCATAAAATAGAAAAGATTGCAGATAAAACCAATTATATTGAAATGCAGTTAGCAAAATATATATTTTTAAAGTTCCCAGACCCTAGGTTAAGAACTCCTGCCCCAGATAAACTGGGCTTTGTGGGAAAGGTAGAGTATTCAGAAAAGAGAGAAAAATCCAACCAGTATTCTCTGTCCTCCTTTCTCATACCCTCAGCAAAGTTGTACCCATGGGGAAGGGATCCAAGGAGCATGAGGGCAGAGCAGAACAAACAGGTGGGTCCTGGGTCTCAGAGGACATAACATCAGCAGCCCGTGAGCAGGAGACTGGTTTTACAAAGGAAAGGGAGCCAGGTGATTGGGCCAGGCTATCTACAAAACATTCTGGCAGCCCAGGCCCCAGCAGGTAGCACACATCTGTGCCCCTTTTACCCTCTAAAACAGTAATCGTGTCTGGCATATAGCTGGCAATCAGCATGCAATAAGTGTGGTTTAGCAAAGCAGACCCTGGGCTCTTTTGGCAGGGCCCACTGTTAATAATCCAGCAATCTGTCTGCAGTTTTGTCTGCTTGTTCTGGGAGCTCTTTGGACTTTGCCGTTCCTTATGCATGCTTCAGGTATTCTCCCTAGGGGAGAGGTCAGCCCAAGGACAAATCTTTCCTTGGTTAGCCTTCCCAAGAGAAAAAATGAGAAGGGGTGATTCTTAGTAACATTTTTCCCTGGGGTGAATTAGGCAACCTTGACTTCCCATACCACTAAGCCTCCTCTAGGTCTTTCCTGCCTTCGTTTTCAGACAGCCTTGATGCCTCAATTTAATGGAAAGATCCCATGTCTCCCAGTTTCTAGGGCCGCTGACTCCTCTTGGATCTATCTTTTCTCTCCCTCTCTTAACCCCCCAGAACCCTGGCTGCAAGGCTGGCCTGTCTTGGTCCAGTGTTAATGCTAAATGCTGCTAGAGTCACTCAAAATGAAACCAAGATAAGAGGGACCCTTTCAGTACTTCTACTAGCC